CTGAGGAACTAGCAGCCTAGTTGATGGAAGCATAAGGCATGTTAAAGTTGTATTATGAAATGAGTAGAAAATTATTTCATATGATGAATACAGAGAAGCACACAAGCTGTCAATAAAATCTATTGTCATAAAAACAATCAGTTTGTGGTGAGCTTATAGAGTATTGAGAATACCATGCTAAAGAGGTTTGTTTGCTTCCCCTAAGGAATACGAATGGTTGAAGGTTTTTGAGACAGAACAGTGATGTGTTTTAACTTGTGTATTAGGAAGATTATTTTGACTATTAAGCAAAGGATGGATTAGAAAAGGGAGATTCTGAAGACTGGAAGGCAAGTTAGAGGCAATGACAGTATTCTAGGAAGAAAGTAAAGAGTGTCTGACCTAGACTGATGGCAGTGTGACTTGAAGAGGAGGAGACATGTATGAGAAGCTATGTGGAGGTAGAATTGACAGAATATGTTAACAATTAAGATGTGGAGGAAGAAGGGAAGAGGAGAGACCAAACAAAGGTTTCTAGCTTGTGTGATCATTAGAGTGATAGTACCATCAATGGAAATAAGGAAGTTGAGAGGAATAACCTAGCAGGTTTAAGGGAGAAGATGACATTACACCTTTCAGACTTACTGAGTGAGGTGCTAGTGGAATGCCAATTGGAGATGTCCTGCTAGCAGCTGGGGGTATAGTCAGAGAGTTCAGAATCAGACCTATAGAGCAAATACTTTCCAATAAAGAGATGATATTGAAGCCATCAGAGTAGATGTGATGACCATGGAAGAGAATCAAGAAAGGGTGGAGCCTTGCCAGGTGAAAAGAGGATGTCGACTGAATGGATGAGAATGAATGGGAAAAATGACAACAGTGATATTAATAATATATATTTAAAAATCTAAGCATACTTACCTCAGACATAACTCCCTGGGAGAGAGGTAGGATATAAGGGTTTTATGCTATGCCCAGAGGAGATGGCAACCCTTATGTCCTACCTCTCTCCCAGGTAGATTGTTTAAAGCTCCATTTCTCTGATAAATCCATGTAATTCATCCCATCCTTCTTGTCCAGGTTACAAATCAAAATGCCAATAAAACAAAATCAAAACCCCACCCTAAAAGAAAGTTTTATTTTGCTTTTAGGTCATCTAATAGGCCTAGAGGAGATTAGGTTATGAATTCCTTGCTGGTAGAAACTAACATATCTCATCTTGTATTCCTGGTGTTTAGCACAATGTTATCCATGTTGGAGTGTATAAGCCTTATCTAGAGTTAAATGCTGAGTTAATTGTACATATAATTCTGAAATAATTTGTTGTTTTCATTTTATACAAAAGATATATTTTAATTTGATGTTTCAGTAAAGAGTTAATTTAAATAAATAGATTAAAATTCTTTTGATAGCTGATTAGTACATATGATGTTTCATTTAAAAATTGTGGAAGTGATCTAAATGAAAATTCATTCAGCCATCTGTTATCACATTCAAATTTGATGAATTATTTCCTATATGAAACATCCCAAAAATATATTGTGTCAGAAAATATAATAACATATAATGCTTTCTTCTTATATTTTCATACAGTGCATTTCCACTTGGCATATGTATATATACACACACATACATACACACACACACATACACATACATATACATGTATTTATTACAAGTTGTGAATTAGTTTTTGAATTATTTGAGTACTCCTAAAAAAATCATCCTAGTGGTATAGCATTTTTGCTTTTCCTATAATTCATTACCTGAATTAAAAAAAAGACATCTTTTTGTAGTACCTGAGAGGTAGCATGGTATATAGTAAGAGAAGTCCTCAAAGCCAGGTAGACTTTTGGTCCAGTCCCACCTCTGACATCTGTGCCATGTGACCCTGAGCAGTCACTTAACTTGTCAGTGTTCCATGCACATCTCTAAGACTATAAGCTCCAGAGAAAACACTAGCCTGTGTTTATAGAGGGAGTCTCCTCACCTTGGAGTTCCTTCTACCAGTGAGATCACAGGTCTGGTCCCCATCCTTCTCCCTAGAGCAGTATGATTCTTAAAATGTGGTAAGGATTTTGTACTTACGTGATACTTTGTATTCAAAGTATAAAGGCAGTGCCATAACCCAGTATGCATGCAGAGGTTAACACTGCCTTGATTCCAGCAGGGTCTGCCTATGCTCACAGCACTGAGTTTTAGCTTCAATTCCTTGCCTTCCTTGTGATAGGCTTCTTTTTCTATATTTTGCTTTATATACAAATGGCATTTTGTCAATCTAATACCATACAACAAACGTTTATTATGTGTAAGGTAGTGTACTAGGAACTAAGAGTATGAAGACAAAATTAAAAAGTCCTTATCCTCAAGGAGTTTTCATCCTACCACAGGATTCATGAGTTATGACCCTGGTCTCTTTCCAACTGCAGCCCCACCCAAAACTTAGAGCATTTCCCAGGGTCTGTTAGTCACAACTCAGATGTCCCAGCCACCCTACTGTATCTCTTCTGGTGATAACCTCCTCAGGCTCCAACTCTTTTTAATCACCACCCTATCCAAGTTTCATGGGCTACCTTAATGTGGCCATACTTGAGAACTCTACTAAATTCCAAAGATTTGTTGGCTGTAAACGTTTCTGGGGAAATCCCTTGATCACAATCACCCAAGACTTGCCAATCATAACTCAAAACCCTTCCTAGAGGTAGCTCACATATCTCCCCAAGGCCCTCTGGTTATAAGATGGTCCTCATTCCCAGACCTCTCAAACTAACACAGTCCTGTGGCCTGACTGACCCTAATCACCAGGTCTACCTCCCTCAAATCCTAAAGCATATGTATGATTTATGAAACGAGTCATGAAATGAATGAGAAATAACTCATTTAAAATGATTCCTCAAAAAATTCTCTAACTGGATTAGAAAATCTCATATCTGTGTATATGGGGAATCCATATTAAAAAAAATTTCAGACTCCTAGCTTTTATATTATTAATAGGTTCTTTAACTGGTCCTACAGAACAAATATAATGCCACATTTTCCTTGTCATTCACTTAAAGTCCTAAATTCTGTGTATCTCTTGAAATTTAAATATGAACTTCATTTCGAGTGAATAAAGAGACATTTTCTATTATGTCAACATTTGTATGTTTCCCTTTTTTATTTTCTTTTTTTTTTTTTGGTGGGGGAGGTAAGTGAATTTCCTGAAAATTCAGTTCTCAATGAAGGTGACTATAAAAAGCCAAAAAGCTGTCATGGCACAGTAGAAAGAGTTTTAGTCAGGAGACCTGTATTCCACTCTAGCTCCAGCCCAGCGACTTTTAGTTGTTTAAGTGGTCCCTTAACTGCTCAGTTTATCGGGTACATGGGAATAATAATATTTATAGTATCTACATCCATTGTATCATTGCAAAGCACTTAGCACACCTTAAAATACTATATAAGTCTGACTTATTCTCATCAGAGAAGATGTTTTGACCTTGATTTAGATGGAATTTAAAGGAGTATGTACTAGTTTAAAGTAAATTGTTTTAATTTGTAAACTGCAAACTAGGGATACCAAAGTAAATGCCAACTAAAAACCTGGACAACATGAATGTGAAAGTGTGGAAGAGTATTTTCAGAATTATTGAAGTAAAGTTATTACTGGCATGCAAATCACATATCAAGTATGTCCATATATCATTTCCTTACTTCTCTAGTCAGATTAAATCTCTCCATGCTTTGGAAGACTAAAATTAATATATTACTTTCTTAAATTATTTGATCACTTTTAGAAGAGGAGTGGGAGAAAGTATGTAGATCTGAATTTAAATAAATGAGAGATCATAGTTTTATGATGCGGATACAGGATATGGTGCCATAAGGGTCAAAAAGAATATTAAGGGTTGCTTTTCCTGTGCTTTGGGAGGCCCCTCCTGAGAGGGGGCTCATTCTGTAACTCATCCTGTAACTTAAGGGCAACCTAAAGTCCTTTTCCCCTTATCTTGAAATATCATAAAACTCCCCCTTATCCTGTACCATAAAATTCCTTATCTCCCTTATCCAGTGTTCCCTCTGTCCTTAATCTTTAACCTATATCACACCTTATCTTATTCTTAATCTTTAACAACCATAAAACCCTAAAGACCTTCCTGTTCTTAATCTTTAACCATCATAAAATCCTAAAATCTATTGGCTATATAGCTTTCTCTATATATAAGCCAAGTCTTCCCCAAGTATGAAAACCTTTTACTCAGCCCCATGGCTACAGTAAAAAGTCTGTGTGTGCTTTCATGTGCTAAAGCTCCCAATGACTAAAAGAGAAGTCTAAATTAATTCTTTCACACCTGAATCACTCTCCTAAATCCGACCTCCACAGTTTACTCAGCTTTGTTTATTAATATCACTCCAAACTATAAATCTGTATCAGTCCACTGTTTGTTTTTTTTTATTGGATTTTTCAGTTCATAAATGTGTGTATTTTGTCATCAGTGAATTCAAGAAATGGCTAAATTTGGGAATTTTTGACATTCATTCCAAGTTATTTAGATTCATTTTTAAATTTTCACAGTCATTACAGGATATACATGACAAAATGAATTTAGTATCCCTATTTTTAACTAGATAATAGCGACTCCTGTTTATGTAATGCTTTAAAATGTGTAGCATACATTACCTACATTTTCTCATTTAAGATTCAGTGAGTCCTAGTTGAGAATGTAAATCTGTCAAACTCAAATAGAAATGGGATCTGCTAAACCATGCATGGGATACATATTGACTTTGAAGACCACATATTAACATTATCTATGTCTTATTGTATTTTTATTTATTTTGTCAAATATTTCCCAATTACATTTTAATTTGGTTCCAACTGTGCTTGGAAGTGTTCTAACATCATTTGAGCCTTCTGCTGTAAAATATACTAATAACAATGAACTTTAGGGAATGATTTTGATATGTGTTTTTCTTATATCTTTTCATTGAAAATATTCAATTAGAAGACCAATAAGTAAGAATTTAATTATGATTTCAAATTTTAGTCTTGAAAAGTGTGTGACTGCTAAAGAAAATCTGGAGGCAGACCTTTATAAGCGTTTTGTTCTGGTGCTGAATGAGAAGAAAGCAAAGATTAGAAGCTTGCATAAATTGTTAAAACAAGCCCAAGAACCAGAAGAGGACACACAAGATGAAAGGTATTGACATTTATAATTGGATATTCCATTACTGGATGATAAATATGTATATTTAAATTATATTTCTTCAGACTTAATGAATGTTAGCCTATTTAACCTTTCAATAATAATGTTCGTGGTTTCAAATAACCTAATAAGTGTTATAGTTTTGGATTAGGATTTAAGAGGCAGGGATTCTGTTCTTGATAGTTATTGACTTCATGACCTTAGGTAGGTCATTTGATCTTTCCATATCTATCTAAAATTGACACTGATAAAATGGACACTACTAATTATTGCCACTTCACTCATAAGATAAGTATTCCCTGATATTGTTTCTGGAATATTCTAAGACCTGGTTAAGTAAGGTACTAATTTTTTTCTTATTCTCTCCCCTTCTATGAGTATTATCATATTGTTCATGTTGTTTTCAAGAGAAAAAAATGCTTTTCAAGTTGTTTCTTGTTCTTAGTCTCTCCTCATCTTCAGGTTTCAAGTTGCTTTTTTTTTTTTACTTACCCTTGAGCCCAGTTTCTTTTTGCATTCTTGGAAATATATTTTCCCCATGTTCATGTTAAAGGGAATCTTCCATAAAAAATCTAACCAATATGCTAGAGACTTCTCTTGGATTCTTTTAATAGTTCATGAATACAGGATCAATTAAACATTTCTTTAAAAAAAATTCATGAATACCATTACATCCCTTGAACTGTTCATCTATTAACCTTCACTCTTATTATACAGTAGACCTTCCTCTTTTAAAAATGTTTTTAATATCAATATTTAATATCTTTCTTTTGTAGATCATAGAGTATTTTAAAAAACAATACTTAAGAAACACATATGACTTTTTCATCAGTTAGGTGGCAAGTATTGCAAAATCTCTTTAATAAGTGGCAAGTTTTGGCATGAATTGACGTGGTGTAATAGCCAATGGAAAATGGATTCAAGATTTATTTATAGAGAATAATTGCTCAAAATATCAAACCACTTTTCTGGTATATTTTATTTTAGTGAGGAATCTTTATCTTAATGGAATTAATATTGATTTTTCCCCCCTGTAGGATGACATCATCATAGTGTGTGTGTGTGTGTGTGTGTGTGTATGCCTGTAAAATTGGTTTATGTGTTTATCTAATCAGAATTATGTTCCTAGGATCTTTTCTGAAGCTTTTAACATAAAACATATGCAATAATTTTGTTTTTTTAAAAAATCTGCTGTGTGACCCTGGGCAAGTCACATAACCCCATTGCCTAACCTAAATAAAGAAATAAAGAAATAAAGAAATGAAATGAAATGAAATGAAATAAAAATCTGGCCCAAGGTAGTTAGTTGAATGAATTTCAATACCCCTTTCTTTGTCCCTAGGGAATCTGTAGACAATACCCAAAGCCATAAGAAAAGAGAGGCAGCCTATGATGAAAGTACTGATGAGGAAAGTGAAAATTTACCTGTTTCTTCTGAAGTAGTTCCAGGTAAGAACAAAATATGTTTCCCTTTTTGGATTTATTAATATAATGCTGTATTCTAATGCATTGTAGATGCAGCATAGTGTATTACAATTCTCCTAGAGCTAGCCTCAAGGCCCAAAAGACCTAGGTTCAAGTGTTCCTTCTGACATATATTGGCTGCTGACCCTGGGCAAGAATTAACCTCTTAGAACTCTGAGCAACTCTCTAAGACTCTAAGTTACAGAGTTAGAAGCTGATTTACAAGTTACGGAGAAGATGCTAATCTACTTTGGTAGAGGAAATTTCCTCAATCAGGGAGTATACTAGTAAAATCATACCTCTACCTGTTAGCACATTACTTTAAACAACAATATGCTTGAAAATAAGTATATAGGTTAGAATTTGAACTTCAGTGTTTTGAGAATAAAGCTCGTAGTTCTTAACCTTTTAACAAATTACCTATAAAAGAAACTAACCCACAAATGGAATAAAATAAACAAATGTGAGCACACATAAGCGTATTGTTGACCAAGCAAAAGACCTATACTATAGTTTGCTGTGTTCCATTGGGAAAAACTCTAAATGAGGAATTTCTAAGGACCTGAGCTTGAGTCACCTGATATTACTGCTTACCACTTGGGTAAGTCCTTTAATCTCACTTGGCTAGGCCTCAGTTTCCTCATGTAAAAGGGACCATTACTTGCTGGAGTTGTTTGCTAAAGCTCAAGAACCCAGTATTTTGGAGACCTACGATTATCTTGGGCCAGTTTGGATAACCTAGAACTTTGAACCCAGGAGAAATCTCTGAAGTCATCATGGAGCTAGATGGTACAACCTCAAATCTATAAAAGACATTAAAAAAGTTCTTGATTAATTGACCTGAACCCAAAATGACAAGTATTAGACATTCATAGGGTTATATTGGATTCTGTGTGAAACCCCTCAATTTTCCCCAAATCTTCCACCACAGAAATTAAATTACTTTGCTTTTTATGGTACAGGTTATGCATATTTTACATTGGTACCTCATTTATATGTGAAATAAATCATTTTATGATCAAATGTAATAAAAACCTCCCAAAGAAAAACAATTTGTGCTCCTTTCCATTTAAACCCTCAGAATGCTGGTTAAATGCAATAGGTCTGGCTCTCATTCTGTCTTCAGAGCATCACACCTCTCTCTGAAGTCGATGGAAATTTTTCTTGAAAAGGAAATACACAGCTATATCTGGGGGCAATAGAATTAGGTTCTTTCATGTGTGCAGACAATTTATAAAAAGTAACTCTTGTAAAACTACTATTTTAAATTTGGCAAAACTTTTCAGAGTTTTCCCCAATGTTTAGTTGAAGCCTTATATTTTATTGTTCTCCGTAATTTTTTTTTAACTCAAATCTCTTTCAAGAGATAAATTTATTTCATGGTTCTCTGATTCTAATATGTTTACATTTAACTTATCAGAATGCTGTTCTGCAAGAACTTTTTGATGTAAAAGAATTAGGAGCATTTTTATTAGCCATTTAACTATCCCTTTCCTTCTGGTTTTCATATAAAAAATTAGGAAGCTGAAGTTTGCCAAGAAGAAATTAAACACAGATCCAAAATGCTTGAACTTGGTTTAAAAAATAGATTCTACAAAATCTGAGCAGGAAATGTATATATTAAAATACAAAGTAGGTCCTCTTTCAGTTTACTAAATAAAGATATGAAATTTTTATTAGGTAGGCAGAACTTGTCTTTAGGTGACTAGCAAATATTTTAATTTATCATACAGCCTGCAGATTGCTTTGTACTTTTTTCCCCCACAGTAAGGAGGTGCAGAGGAGAGAGGAGAGGAAAGGAGAGGAGAGAAGAAAGAGCAAAAAAGGAAGAAAGGGGAGGGAAGAAAAAGGGGGAGAAAATTACAGGAGGGGAGATGAGAGAACTTAATGTATTCATTCTGTCTTTGTATATATCATTCTTCAAATTACACATGTGCAACCTAATAGCAATGCTCACTATGTAAAGTGCTTTAGATTAATTATTAAAATCCCCAAATATCCTCCTGAGTTAAGTATGCATTATTATCCCTTTCCTGGATAATGAAAGAGGTTAAGTGATTTGCCCAGGGTCACTTAGTGATTCTGGAGCTCCCATTCAAGAAAACCTTTCATTTACTTTTATCTATGGATGCTGAAGAAAGGGTAGAGTAATTTGCAATAAATTGCTAGGCAACCTCTTTATGAACAGATTTTTTTTTGTTCATTTATCTTTTAATAATAATGAGATATACTTTTTTTCTTGTTAAGTTAGGAATAATGAACTCATTTGGATACAAAAGGATAGATTATCATCTTATGGTAAAATCAGAAATTAAAATTTTTAAAAATCATTTGCTAAGCCAGAGAAATGAAAGTCCTATTACCTCCCCTTCCACACTCTGTAAAGTGCCTTCTCTCTGCTCCTCACATGTGACCTGGTTGCCCTTGCCTGGCCCAGTCTTGGCATGTATTCCCTCCACTCCTGTTCTTTCTTAAATCCTTCTCTTCCTCCCAAATGCAGTTTAAGTACCATGTTTACATGAAGTTTTCTTGGTCCCCTCCGACTTCTAGTGCCCTCTCTCTCAACATTCCTTGCATTTAACTACTTTGTATTTCTTTGGCTTTATTCTTTTTGTTGTTGTTGTTTATTTTCTATATGAGTATATTTGTGCTTACTGTCTCCTCTATTAGGATGTAAGCTCATTTTGAGTAGGAATTCTTTCTTTCATTGTATTTGTATCCCTAGCAGCTGGTACATAGTAGTGCTTAATAAATACTTGATTGATTGATTGCAATAGGAACTGAACATTTTAAGAGCCAAACATTTTTAGTGAATAAATTGGATATATTCCACCAATGAATAACATCTAAATAATTAATATGAATAATGAGCAAAAGGAATGCATTTTATTAAGACCTATTTGCATTATGGGGCACTGGACTAAGATTATAAACTGGTAAAAAACAGAGATCAGTTTGATTTAACTTCCCTTGTGCATACCCATGCCCTATAGCTAGGTGATCTTTCCCCTATGCTGGAGGTGTCAAACTAGCTGCTGGCAGGCCTCCAAAACTCCTGAAAGAACTGGAATCATATTAAAATCTAATTAAATTATAATTTGTTTAACAAAGTAAATGAAAATACAATACAACATAGATGCCAATTTGTGTTTTTCTTAGACAATATGCAGCCTACCATTTCTATTTGAATTTGATATCACTGCAGCCTCTACCACCCTTTTTCACACTGACTAAAATTAGAAGGATGAAATTTTCCCCCTGTCTTGAGGGTAGTTTGGAAGGAAACTAATGAAAGATAACACTCTGCCATTGTGAAGTACTGCTTATGCAAAATTATGCTGAATAGTATACAGATCCTTTAAATTACTGTATAAGATTTTAGCTTCCAAAAGTGAATACCCCCCCAGACTGAACCTGAAAGATGTCAATAACCTCATCTGGTGATGATTACATTTTTATTTTTCCTGAAACAAGCGTTGTAAGCCCCAGCAGTTTGCCACTCAGAACTGTCAGAGGGGAAATAAGGGCCTATTAAATGTCCTTTTCACACTGGGAGTACTTGAAAGACATTGGGTCCTCTGGAGCTTTCATTGGATTCTAATTCAGACAGATTATTGTAGGCCATACTTATTCTGGAGAGCTTCTCTGCACACGTGGACCGCCTTGCCTTCTGGAATAACAAGGGTCAGTTCCAACCCATTTCATTAACTGTGTTAAGAGAATTCCAAATTTAGGCAAGGATCTCTCTTCTGCATTAGAACCCTGTTAGGAGCTGGTACTGTTAAGACCCAGTTTAGAGCCACTGAGTCTCAGCATTCGAAGGGACCCCCCAGGCTATGTCCAGCTGCACAGGAATTCTTTCTACAGTACACTTAGTAAATGATTATCCAGGCTTTGTTGGAAACTTACTGTGAGGAGGAGCCTGTTACCTCTCAAGGAGTTCTGTTCTACTTTTGGACAGCTTAATTATCAGGCAATTTTTCCTTGCATCAAACCTATATCTGCCTTTTTGATGGTATGTTCTGTGCAGTCATGCAATTTGTGCCCTTGCCTTTGTGTATCTGGGTGGTGCAGTAGATAGAACTTGAGACTTAGGGTCAGGAAGTTAGAATTAGAATTAGAGTTAGAATCCTCCTTCAGACACTTACAACTGCATGACCCTAGCTGGGCCAGTCACTTAAATTCTTTGTCTTTGTTTCCTCATCTGTAAAATGTGGGTGATGATAATAGCACCTACCCTACGGGGTTGTGAGATTCAAATAAGTTAACAAAGTTAAAGTGTTCTGCAAGCCTTAAATTTCTATATTAATGCCAGCCGCTGTTGCTACTACTGCTGCTGTTTCTGTAATAGGTTAGCCCTTGTTGCTGCTAATATGCCTCCAAAATTCATGTTGTTTTTTTGAAGCATAGGCATAAGGATAGGTATGTCCAGCAGTCTAAACTCATCTTCTTAGTAATAAAAAAGGTTTCATCTAACCAGCTTTTGGCTACCTCCATAGTGACTGTACGTGTCTGACAGCAGCTGAGAAGCAGTTGCTGCTTCTGCATCCCTTCCATGTAACACATCCTGCTGTATTATTCTTGAGTAATTTTAGAAAGTGTGACTGGGCCCCATTGTCTATGAAAATGAATAATGATAGTATTGGAGAAATGTTTTTTTTTTCTCTCTGAATGTTCCGTGTAAAAAGATGTTCATTGATGACCAAGAAGCCCGTGTCTTAATCTTAAAACAACTAAAAATGTGCTACTTTGGACAAAATCTAATCTCTTTTTACATCAGATTTTTGATAGGCTATCATTTGTAAGTTCTTCCTTAATTGATTACCCACAAGTAGTTATCATGAGAGACATTGTTACAACTATAGAGACTAATCAATGTCTTGAGAAATGTATCAATATGAATTGTCAGCTTTGCAAAAAATTGAAAACAATTATGGGTTAACAATTTTTTTTTACTACCTTGACTTTCTTATATAGAAAAGTAC